CAGAATTACGCATAGTTTAACTGGAGAACTCAGGAATACAGTAAATGCTTCAGTCTGAAATGCAGGGAGAAAGGACTAAAAATTACTAAATTACAGGTGGATTAAGTGGGGGGAAAGCAAACACAAACACTGAGCAAAGGTAGAGACCACCAGGCTCTACTGATTTACAGAATAAACCTGAGCAGTGACCAAGCTGATATACAACAGGGAGGAAACCAAAATAAGAAGAGCAGCCAGRGGATACCAAGATATCAGGTATACGGCAATATTCAAAATCCAGAAAAATCTGGACACTTTCTTCTCCCCAGAAAGCCAGTTATAGYTCCTTCCTCCAGTGCACTAGATCTCTGGTGTGTAAAAAGTTAGAGCCATCATCCCAAAGCAGTGTCTGAACCTTGTTTTGTAAAGACCTGTTTTGTAGACATCCTTGYACCAACTCCCCTGAAGTAACAATATCCCATAAACCAACCACCTCYCTCAAACCAGCTTCCTTCCCCAATGCCTTGCAGCATGAAGTGTCACTAGCACGAGATGAAGTCACAGCCTGGCACCAAGCAGGCCAAAAAACCCAACCTGACCCACAGATTGTGCTACAGGGATCCATCTTTTATGAGCAGCTGCCACGTTCTCCAGTTTAACACCGGCCAAGCAGGCYGCAGTGGCACTGTACTTTCATCCAGACCTTGCCTGGACACTTTATTTGAAAGCCACTTTGAAGGATTCAGTGCTTTTATATCACTGTAAATAGCAAACAACCCTACAGCTTAACATTACTGAAATACTAATAGACACACCTTATTTAAATCAGCTCACCTTTGCTTGTTCCAAAAATAAGCACTTAGCGATACACGTGATACAGCGTAAGAGAAAAAAAATGTACCACTGTATTAAGAATAGCTTAAAAAGAACTCATTAAAAATGACAAACAAAGTAGTGGCTAGAAAGCCAAATAGAGCAAATGATATTGCCTATTAGAARATAAAGTTGGGAATCCTGATCTATTATTCTTTTTAAAGCTACAAAGTGGTGTGGGCAAGTCACTTAGGCTCAGCACCTCAAATAAACGTACATAACCACCCCACACTGGAACCAAGGTATCCTTGGAACTCGTTTTGTTTATCCCTGGGCTGAACAGTATTTGTTACAGTTCTGTGAAACAGAATCTACTTGAACCATGATCCTAAATTCTGTAAAAGGAAATATTGATTCCTTGTGGTTATTAATATCAGCAATGTAAATTAGTAGCTACTTTAACTTCGGGTTAAAATATCAGTAAATGAGGTCAGTAAATATCAGTCGATGATTTAGAAGTTTGACTCCCCACAGTCCCTGAAGCACACAATTTTCCTAATTACTTAAATACAAAAGCTGTCAATATTAGCTTCTCTAAAAAATGAGGGTGCTTTCTGCCCAAAGCGATACGCTTAAGACCTAAATCCATTTCAATACACTTCCAATACACCACCTCCTCAGTGAATACTGCTTGCTGAGAAGGAACAAGTCAATGCAAAGTGTCATCCACGGCCTTCAAAGCTGCCTGGGAGAGTGAAAGTGCCGCTCATCCCAGGGACAGCTGCAGGCCATGGTCCCCGATGGCAGGCTCYGGAACATCTCCGCTTACCGATCAATCGGCAGTAAAACCCTCGTTCTCGGAAAAGTCTCCTGCATGTCCCTAAATGCATTACGTGCCTTTAATGCGGTAGCGGCTTTCCGAGATGGATGATGCTGAAGCACTACTGAACTGGTATGGAAAAAACCTGACCTCGAATTGACCTATGAATGTGTATTTTCCAATTTAATTCTTTACCAGTCATGGAAGTCCCCACAAACACCTGGCTAGGTCCAGCGGTAGCTTTGTTGTGCGGATTGCGTTGCCACGTTGCTTCTGTCACTCATTCAGGTTTATTATATGCTGCTGGTAAATTCTTGGCTTCTATTTAAAATAAAGAAGCATACAGCAAAGGGCTAGGAAGCAAATGGCAGCTGCACACCACAGAGCTCATGCCAGTGGAAAATGTAGGTAGCTGGATGGTGCAATACAGATGACTCTCAAGTCAAGCTAAGACAAACAGACTGGGTAACACTGGAAGAGTTTTATAAGGGAGCAGAGCTAGAYACTCTACACTATTTTGGATGATAAAATACCAGTATGTTCTCTGATCTACTTTTTCCAGGTAAGCACTCTGGAGGGGATCCTGTGCCACCAAGTGACAGGGAGGGAGTTCATTCAACAGTCACTCGGACAAGAGCTGTCTCCAAAAGGCAGATGCCATTAAGTGGTGGCCCACACTATCAATGTGGTATTGCAGTAATTTTCATACCATTTACCACCATGGAGGTCAAACAAGTAATAGATTCAACATACAAGCTAAGCCCCAAAGTCTCTACACGCTACCAGAAAAAAGAAAAAAAGATTTTATACTCTTCTCACAGGCACAGCATCATCCGCATTGTCAGAAACCATTAATGAAAATAAGGATGAAAAGGTAACACCCTTTACTATTTAAACCAAGTTACTCTGCAATACTCTATACTATTCAAAACCAAGCGGGTACRAAAGGGGAGGGAGTAGGAAAGAGAGTCTTGTCTTACTAAATAAGACCTGGTAAGAAAAAAACAGGATTTAAGAAACATTCTGAAGGAGAAAGATCTTAGGATCTCTTGGTAAGTAAATGTGCATATTTAACTTCCTGGGATATTCTAAAAGCTTTTTTTTTTTTTTTTTTTTTTAATCAAATCTGGGTTTCTGGTTTTTATTTTTTCTTTTCTTTTGAATGCCTTGTACTGTTAAAAAGAAGATTACTTTTACAGGTGTTGTAAAGTAGAACTGATCAGTTTTAAAAGGTGGATAAAGAAGTGGCTTTTCACTACTCCTAGACTGTCTTTAATATCGCGAGTTATTCTCCCAACCACRTACTTTATCCAAAGGTCTATCAGGAATCCACTGCATTCAAGCTGCACTGCAATCTCCTTAGCAAAATCTATATCAATACATTCTCCCACATTACCAGATACTAAAACTGCCTGCTGCTTATCATTATTATATCTTGTTTCTCCTGAGCTTGAGTTCCAAGCTGAAAGCACCTAAGTACGGCTCTCACAGGCAGCTTCTCTCTTTCAAGCCAAGCAATTCAGAGCASAGAATTGTTGCATTCAAATACACAGAGACTAAATCCAGGGCAAGCAGAATGACCACTAAATGTTTAGAGAGACTTGAACTGGCAGGTGGAAGAGGAACAGCAATGGTGACATTAATTTGATGGCTTCATGCCTATCTATCAAGACATGATTGCAATTATTTTTACTAGACCCCTGCTGCATTCGGAACACAAAATACGCCTGCGCCGAGGACTCCCTATGGAAGAGTGTTGCCTTCCTCAGATCCCCAGCTCTTGCTTACGAACCAGGTGATCTGGGGCTACTTTAGGGGTCTGCAGGAATGGATTCCATCCATCCCTGCTTCCAACCTCCTTCAATATTGGTAATTGCAATTCTCCTTTTCTGGCTTCCCAACTGAAGAACTTGAGACTTGATCTGCAGAAGTGCTGCCACCCAAGCTGGGAGCAGTGATCTAAGCAGGAATCAGCGATCTGAACAGCGATCTGAAGCTCTGACATGTTACAGCGCATTGAGTATTCTAGCAAAAATAAATCTAGAATGTACAAGTCACAGCTTCCGCATCTAAAATTAATGGAATTTAATCCTTCTGGCTTAGCTCTCCTGTGCTGAATGTGTGTAATACCAGATCCCTGTTCTGCTTAAACAGTCCAAAAAGAATTTAGCGTCCAAATAATGCTTCTATGCCAATGGAAGAATGAGGTCATCACTAGTTCTGTCATGAGGGAATGCTTTCATTAGCCTCCATGTGCAGTCAACAGGGATCAAGGCTAAAACACAACTGTTCAGATCAAGAGATGCTTTGAAGACAGCCCATTAGAGGCATCATGGAGAAAGAGCACAAGACCATTATGGCCAGTGCTTTTGGCCAAGGAAGAGGCCCATCACAGAGCTCTCTTCCTGCACCCTTTCCATCAGTCACCACTCCTGCTTCGCAGGAGAGTAGGAAGGTCTTCAGAAGGAGGAGTGAAGCCGCGGGTCAGCCCTGAGGAGACGAGCTGAGGGCGGCTGCAAAGCCGAGGAGCGGCCTATGGCGCCACCTCACCCTGCCCGCGCCGGCTGCGGGCGCCRCGCAAGAGAGCCCRYGYGTTGGCCAACCGTCAGCTTCCGGGYGGGACGAGGCGGCGCCTGCTCCTAACGGTTATTTTGGCCGCTGTGCAAGGCCTCCGCGCGCTCGGGGTTGCCTAGCAACAGGGCTTGGTCCTTGCGGAGCGCCGGCGTTCCTTGTGGAGCGGGGAAAGGGGAGGGCTGGCAATGGGCGGACGAAACCCTCGGCACCTTCGCTYCTCATCGCAGGAGGAACCCGCCGGCTGATCTGTTAATTGGGAATCTCAATAATCTCTTTGGGATAAATGTGCTCGTTTATGCTCTGGCAGGCAAATAATACACCCCACGAGTTAGGCGGTCATCGCTATTAAAACCTGTGTTATAAACACACACAAGCCTCACAGGATATGTGTGGCAACTAACATTGAGTTCAGATGCATTAGAGAAAAAAAGGAATCCGTTTTGTCAATTGGTAGGCAGCAGATTAGATAAGACTTTTATCAGCAAACAGCATGACTGGCTTGGAAAATAGCTACATAAAAATGACATAACAGAATAACATTGCCTATGCCAGGGGAAGGAGCTAATGAAGACCTCGGCTATCCATAATGTGACAATTAAAAACGGTCAAAAAGCTAATAAGTGCACAGAATAAACCCCCCAAATAGTTAATAGTAGGATGCACACATGAGCAGCCACAGAGCACCTCATGCAGGTGATCAGCATTACATGTATATTCTCCCAAACTGCACACGGAAGACCAAACCATGAGAATTACGTATGTACATTTTAAAGAAGCATTTGAAATATTTTCAGGAGTAATGTGTCGTGCATACCCTCCTCTTCTGTGCCGCTCTTTGTGCCTGGAGATTTTGTACGGCAGAGACCTTTCGCCGAGGTTTTCCAGGTTCCTCACAACAGCTCCTCTCTCCATAAGGGCCTCCACAGTGCGCTTCAGCACAGCTGCTGTCTCAGGCTTTAAAAGGGGAAAAAAAAAGAAGAAAAAGAARAAATGTACACAAATCTGGTTATTCATATGATGCAACACGTGTATTTGCACACCTAACTGCTGGGAAAGATCACTGAATAACATGAGATGGCAAAAAGGAAGTACAAGCAGATTTCCCCATAAAAAAAAACGGAGGAAGAGCAGCTCCTGCAGGCATGAGCAACAGCTTCCACTGATTTCCAAGTCAGGCCACACCAACACCAGCAAAAGGAAATAATCAACAATTTTAACTCACCTGATCACACTCTACCTGATCTTGCACAGACATAAGCACATATATATGTTAAATAGCAATTATCAATCAGCAACAGCTCTCAGGTCCCTGCATCATTGATGCTAATTAATACTGTTCACCACAACAGCTGTTAAAAATACAGAGGGGAGTAGGAATCTGTGGCTCGATACAGAGTCAACAATTAGCACTGTGTTCCTTTTGTACACTCATTTCAGCTGCAGGCTGTAATACGTGTTTGGACTCTTGGCTAAATCACGGCACATTTCATGGCTTTTACATAGCCAACGTCCAAGTCTTTTCAAGAGTTAAGGAACTGAAATGCAGCAATTAATCTAATATGCAGAGATTTTGTTTCTCAGAGAAATGAGGCAGCCAAAAGCCAGCAGGTAAAATGGATGCATGGTTTTCTTGCTTACTGCATATCAGGGCTCTTAAAAGCGCTGAATCATTCCAGTAATGACACTCAACAATACCTATGAAAATGATAATAAAGTATAAATTTGAATGTTTTGAAAACAACTGCAAACTTAGTATGCTCTTGGTGACAAGAGGTATTTCAAGAAAATAAATCTGTGATTGATAAGAAATATTTCAGGAAAATAAATCTCCTATAGAGAAAGGAACTAAATGGATGTCCAAGCAAACACAAAACACACTGTATGGCTTTCTTCCCTGCCTCCCTGCATTTCACATCAAGACATATTCCCAGGTCTACTTGTCTTGTGAGACGGCAACAGCTGTAAATAAAGAAGTCATGGAAAATTAATTAATTTTCAAAATATCTGGTATTTTGTTAAAGAGGACCATCATAATGATTCACTATCCTTTCACAGAAGTAAACTTGTGTAATCTTTCACCTTATGCACAGGATGACTGAAAGTTAGTCGCCTAAACCTATGCTAGAGATGCAAACTTAGCTAGGAAACAGAGCATTTTAATGCTCAGAAAGCTTAATGGAAATTGGTGAAAAACATGGTACCAGAATTTTACAGTATGCAGGACAGTCCATGCTCCGGCAYGTGAAGCTTCTCCTTCATTTTACTCAGGATACAAGATGATATGAAAGATCTTCCAAATGCAGAGTGCTTCAGCAGTTACAAAGTGAGCAAAAATTCCCTTGTTTCCTGAGTATTTGTGTAGATTAGGTGGTAAAACCATTATAGGGACCAAACAAGTAGCCTGTATATAAAGAGAAGTCACTACCCTACCTAAATCTTCCAGTGTGTTGTAACTACCATTTCCTAGAAGAGACAAGTACTACAGGTATCTCTTGTCATAATGTGAAAAGTTAGGATGAAGGCATTATTAAGAGAGCCTATCTATATTAAGGCTCTCTTAATACTCTATTAATTGATGTTTTAGCTTAGAGTCAGGGAAAACATTATTTTCAGATGACTTAGGGTGACTGTGTCCATTACCAACCAGTAGATTTTTGGGAGAAGCATCTTTTATGCTTAGCATCTCCTTTCCCCCCTAAAAAAATGACAAAGCTAACTCAACCTCCTTCAAACTCTTTTTGGCCTCCTGCCACAAAGCAAACCATTCTCAGAAATATTACAGAAATCTGATTTTCTGTGATTTCCATCCCTAGATTACACACCTACACGTTGATGCTACACCTGATCATGCTGATCCATTCATGAGGCTGATCATATTAATCCCTTCACTCTCCCCTTTAAATCTTAATCTCCCATCTCTCAAATACTTCTGGATTATATGTTAAAAAAAAAAAAAGAAAAGATAAAGCATTTCCTTTTTTGAGTACTGTTCAAAACTCCATAATTAGAGTCTCAGGATTAATCATAACAGAAATAACTGAAAATGGAAAAGTCAATAGGAAATCTGCTGCTTGAGCCAACAGGCCCAACACAGTGTTAAACAGAATCAAAACACGTGCATTTTTCATGTAATATACTCATTTCATGAGCTTTGTAATAGCAGCCCCATCTCAGTGTTGCGTGCATAAAAGAACTACGAATGGCAAGGTTGGAAGGGACCTCGAGGGATCATCTAGTCCAGCCCCCTGCTCCAGCAGGGACACCCAGAGCACGGGGCACAGGGCGGCATCCAGGAAGGTTTGGAAGATCTCCAGAGAAGGAGACTCCACAGCCTCCCTGGGCAGCCTGTGCCAGGGCTCTGTCACCCTCACAGKGAAGAAGTTCCTCCTCACCTGGAGATGGAACTGCCTGTGTTGCAATTTGAACCTATTGCCCCTTGTCCTGTCACTGGCCACTACCAACCACATAAGCCGAAAAGTAGGATACAGAATTGCTGGTGTTATTCACAGTACCACGCCGCAAAGCTACCTGAAATCTGTCCTGAATAAAGAAGAAAAAACAAGTATTGCCTTTGTGAAACAGGAACCTTCCACAGTCTGGAAGATTTTGCCTCTGAAATCAGAATCTGACCACCAGTATTTCACTTCCCTACATTAATAACAGAAACGGGCAGTGTTCGGAGAGAAARGCTAATCATACAGCCTGAATATTGTGAGCACTGCAGTGCACCTGTAGTGCTTCCAACAGCAGTKTGAAAAATATCCTCTTGGAAAGCACTAGGATCTGCCACTCAAGCCCTCTCCTGCGGTGCCTGCTGTGCGTGGCGAGGTTGCAGGAGCTACCTCGGCACTTAGGCAATTATCACAGGAGAAATCTGTTGGGCTGGTGAATAAAAATACTGCTAGATTTTCTGTTGCAACATGTTTTCTGCTTGTGTAAAATAGGCTGGATCCTTAAACGGAGCTCTGTTGCCCTCACTACTCATCTTTAGCCGAACAGCTGTATGTCCAGCTGTGTGACCTTCCCCTTCCTCTGCCAATGACTGTGCATGTGTAAGTTTAAAGCTATCGGAGACGTGTATTCTTCTATACCCCTTATAAGATATATAAGCTGTTGGTCTCTTCTATACAGGCCGACCGATCAGCACAGCCCTGAGCAGCAGCCTGGGCAGCGTGATGCGCAGTTTCTGGGCACAATGAAGCCAAAGATAAAGCCCTACAGATTTCAAAACAAAACAAAACAGAACGAACAAGAAAAGAAAGCCACAGATTTCTACATTAAGGATTGTAAAATATTACACTTTTCTGCAACCTCGCCATTTGTGGGAGCACTCTGAAAACACAAACTAATTGTCGGTTTTGCAAGCTTGTCACTGTAATCCCTGTCATTGCTCCCCTCCAAAAAAGAGCACGGTTTATCATAGCTTGCCTAAAGCCATCGGCCAAACTATATATAGGCCAGCCTTTGCTAACCATAATATCCACAGACACAGGTTCCTCGGTTTGCCTCGGAGCCAGAGCAGCTGAGGACATAGGAAATGGTATTGTCTGGCTCCCAACGCGGGAGCCRCAACATTTTTTCCTGAACAGCCAGCAGTAATTCTCCTACCGCAAACATGGGGAAGCGAAGAGGGAAAGAAAAAACATGGAGGGGAGGGAGAGGGTGGGCTGGGAAAACGGACGTGGTGCCGGTTGGCGAGCTGCGCGGGGATGAGCAGGAGGAAGGGCCTGCCAGCGRTGGGGCGCAGCTGCAGGCCCTGTCCCCGTGCTGTGGGGCTGGGGCCTGGTCGTGGGCGCTGCCCTGGGGGACGCAGAGGAACGAAGGCCCTGCGCACCTTCCCGGCGCTTCCACCTGAAACACTCCTCCTCTCGGAAAGGCAACTGGAGGAGAGCTATCTGCAGACCGAACTAGCTCACACCTCCCAACCCTTAAACGTGCAGCTCCCCACAAGACAAGTCTTCTTAACCAGCTCCCTTCCACAAACTCGGCAGCCTTCCACAAAGAACCCAGTTACGTTTATTTGAAACCTCCACTCTTCCCATGTGCCCAGGTGCTGCGATACACAGCCCTGGATGTCACACAAGCCACCATCTATGCACGCAGAACACCAGTTACACTCAGACTTCTCTCGCACCTCAGGCTTCTCCACCAGCCTTGAAGCCTCRGTTCCCTCCAAGTGAGCAGAGTGCTCTCTAATGCTCCCGTTTCACCAAATCACAGGATGGTTGAGGTTGGAAGGGACCTCTAGGGAYCATCCAGTCCAACCCTCTGCTCCAGCWGGGACACCCTGAGCATGGGGCACAGGTCAGCCAGTAGGAGAGCACAGCTCCAAAACTCTGTTTTTGAGCGGAAACTCCAACATCAGCACAAGAACAAAAACTACAGCAGTGCTATCAGCCATACAGAACTCACATGGCAAGCTTAAAGCATACTAAAAAAAAAAAAAGATAAAAAAAAAAATGGGAATATTCTGACAGTGAAGAGCTTCTTGTGCTAGCAGAGGCCAAATGGATGTAAGTGAATCAGCCACAAAGCTGCAAAGAGGACTTCTCAAACCCCATATGCTGTTACCCTGAGATAGACCAGAGACTTGGCAACAGCTTGAAATAACGTGTTTATAAAACTGATTTCTTCTAAAAACATGCAGCCCGATCCCAACAGAGAAGACAGCTTTGTGGCTGRAATCAGAGCCATGTAAAGAAGACTCTTTGCCACTACTCAATTTTGGAACTAATTAGCTGGCCAGAGGTTGCTCAAGAGAGGACAGAAATTCAGAGGACAGAAAAAGCAGCAGGCCTTTAAAGAAGCTTTCTCAAGCCACTGAAGAGTCGTGAGAGCGCAGAAAGGAAAGAGAGCCCAAATTTGGTTAACCATTTGATTAACTCAAGGCATCACCTCCTTGGATCGTAAACAAAAATAAAGCCACCAAAATTAACATGTCAGTTTTCTAATTC